ATAATTTTACCAAGCAAATACTTTCTTTGTATTTAATTTACTCATGAATTTTGCTGATAAATCTATGTAGATTTTATCTGCATGGTACAATCATCCTTACATTTCACATTCAATTTAATAACTCAGCTACTAATACATACAAAGCTCTGTTGCTTTTAAACAATTCAAACTGTAATTCACAATAATACATGTGGTTTACATGATTCAGTGCACTGTAAATGTGTTGCTAAACAGTATTTACTTTAATTGCCATGAACACTGTCATTTTCTTACCTATTTAATTTTTTTGAAGTGCTGTTTGTAACCCACTAACAATTTTATAACCCACTAATCAGTCACAATATCTGGAATAAATTGTAATACTCTATAAGCAGGTAAGGAATAAAAAGCAAGGACTGCAACAATCTTTTTTGAATACCTGGATCTGGCTTATAAGCAGACAAACTTCATTTAACTATGTATGAGTGTATGCGTGTGTGTGTGTGTGTGCGTGTGGTTGTGTACATTCAGGCCTTTTGGGGGGGGTAGTGCTGGGGGTGGAATTCAGGGTATCATTCATATTAGGCAAGTGCCCTACCACTAACCACAACTCCAGCTCCTTTCCCACAGCTATTACAGACTTATATAAACCTTGAATTTTATTTTAGCTAAAGATAGTAAGACTCATCATTTATTTAATTTTTTCTAAAGTTCTACCACAGATTTGGAGATACTATGTATATGTATTTTAGTCATGCAACAGCAATACAGATACTTTTGTAAAGCTATGTATGCACAGTAGCATATGCCTGTGTTCCCAGCACTGAGGCAAGTCCAAGCCTTGCCTGGGCAATTTAGTGATTTACTGAGACCCTGTCTCAAAGCAAACAAAAAAATGTAAAAAGGAATGGGGATGTAGCTCACTGCAAAGGCCCTGTGTTCGAGCCCCAACATCATCATCCCCAAAAGAGGAGGAGGACATGGTAAAATGAGATAAGACAGTTTAATTCCAACTGGAAATTCTGGGAATGACTATTTTAAGATGAAGAATTTGAGCACAATTTTAAAATGTTAGCTGGACTTCAACAGAAGTAAAGGAAGAGGAATGGCCCCAGTATTAAAGGCAAACCATAGAGGAGTACAGAGACTGTTCAAGGAATGGAAGATATTCCACTGCGGCTCAAGTGTTAGATTTGTGGGAAAGCAAAATATTTTTGGTCTGTTAAAAAAATTGACCAAATACTACATTTAACATTACTGACCATTTCCTCTATATTTTCACGTGTGTGTGTGTGATGTTGACAATAACGCCCAGGGCCAAGTGCATGCTAGGCAAGCACCCTCTACCCCCTTCTCCTTTCTTTAGTCTTCATGATGTATATTTTGATCCTCTTTGCTGCTTTGATTGTTTCTATTAGTTACTTTTTCAGTTCCTCAACTCCATCTTCTGTGGGCACACTTCTTTCACATTTTACAAGCCCTACTCAGCCACACAGGTTCACTCTTTATATCCAGTGTTACCTGCAATAGGAATTGGCCAACTTTTACTATAAAAGGCCAAATCGTATATACTTCATAGGACTGGCAGGCCAAAAGGCAAAATCGAGGATTAGCTTGCCTTGCAAGCACAAGGACCCGAGTTTAATCCCCGGTTCCAAAAAAAAAAAAAAAAAA